CGCAGCGATGGGAAAGTCCTGAATTGCCCTTATGGTTCTCCCTCTGTGAAGGTACATCACTTCTGGCTAGTTGCAGTGACAAGAAGACCTATTTTAATTTTAATTTTATATTATCCCCTTCAATGTTGCATTTTGATGGGTTCTGTAATATTACATGTTTTGTAGCCTGATGAGCTATTTTCTGCCAAAATCCAAAGTTTGTGTCCAACAATAAGCGGGAATGTTTGTTGCACGGAGCTTCAGTTTGAAACATTGCGGGCACAGGTTCAACAAGTAAGACTGCTTCTACCACCTATTTATACTAAATTCAGTTATTAAGGTCGCTTCTATCACATTTTATATGGACTTAGTTATTATACAATACTCAGCTAATGTATCTTAATAATCATTGTACCACTTTATAAGTCTCTTGATTTTATAATGGGGAGTGGAACTTGTTTGTTAAGCAATCACTTTTCTTTGTTCTTTTTAAAATTACACTTATCTCAAGATAAAAGAGGATGTTATTTATTGAAGTTAAAATTCATTGACTTTGCGTCAAATATTGTGTAACTTTGCCCCTTTCCATAAACTTTGTCAAAAAAATCCGTTAAGTTTGCTGATATTGCATGAGTGGGACCATATCTTGTGTTGTTAATATGTGGGACTTACTAATTGTCAATGGTTTGTTAGTATCTAGAACCATCATTGCACTTATGTAGTTTACTGCTTTCGGTTTTCAAATTACCACAGCACTTACTGTATAGTCTTGGGTTTATAAAGATCGTCAGGTTGTTCCTCTATTTATTTCTTGTGGACACTGAGTTTCCTGAATACATGATGGCTTTGATTAATGCTATGCCGTGGTTTATAGTGTTTGATTTGTTTAATTTTACCTAATACTAACACTTTGCTTAGTTATCAGGATATGAACCTTGTTCAGATCAGAGCACAGAACCTGTTCTGTTTGTGTTGTTTATGTGATTTTTTTTCTTCATTTGTTGTGGATATTTGTGTGACTAAATTGCTTCAATGGTTCCATTTGTGTATACAATGTAATGCAATAGTTAGCGTGAGCCTTTCCAGTAAGTAGCACATTTTTTGGTTTTGTTTCATATTGGCCTTTTTGTATACATCAGTCTAAGAACTCCAAGCTTTGCCTTTTGTTATACCTCAACTTTGTTGTATGTAATCTATTGCAGGCAATTCCGTTCCTGGTAGGGTGTCCGGCATGCTTGAGGAACTTCCTAAATCTTTTTTGCGAGCTTTCTTGCTCTCCAAGTCAGAGTCAGTTTATCAATGTGACCTCTGTGTCCGAGGTCAGACTTGATGTTAATGTTATTAAACTTGTTGAATAATCCTATTTATAGCCTGGTTATGGTACTTTTTTGGCATTTTGATTTTTTTTTTTTGCTGGTAACACTTTTGTGCTTATAAACATGTTTTAG